TATAATATAATATAATTAATTTCCATATTACTTTTTCGGGCAGGCTTGGAGCACTGAGCTCCTGGATCTTCTCTTTCCAAACAGAGGTGTTCATAAGGATGTTACCAATTATACCAAGTGGTGTGGAAATTTGTCCAGACCTTTGGGAAGTGGTGGGGAAACAATCAACACCGACAGTGTGAAAACAAGTCACAGGCAGAGATGGCTGTTGTTTATTCAGCCTTCTGCTCTTGTTAACTATGCAAGAACAGCCCCTCTGGGAGAAGATATTTCCAAGAAAAGAAAAATAGCCAAAAAAAAAAAAAGCAACCTGTAACCTAAAAGGAAAAAGAAAAAAATGTCTTTTTTGGATAACAATCCAAATATTTCTTGAAAAGAAAATTTCCATATGGGCTTTTCTTACAGGAATATTTTAGGCTGTGTTTTGTTTTATTTTATTTTATTTTATTTATTCTATTTATTTTATTCTATTTGTTTTTTACTTTATTATTGTATTTTATTTCATGATTATATTATGTTTGTTTAGTTTTATATTTTATTTTATTTGAAGAATGGGTGGTGTTGTTTTTTTAAACTGCAGCTAAGGAACCATTAATTCTTACTAATAGGTAGCTTCTTAGTTTTCAAACTGTTTTGAAGGTGGCTTCTTGGTATCCACACCGGCTTTGTAGTCAGCTGAATCAGTGAGATGGGCAGACTTGGAAATCAATAAAGAAAACAAAAATAAATAAAACAAGAAAGCATCCCACAATCCTAATAAAGGCCACCATGTAGTTGTGTGGGTTGAGAATTTTTTTATTGTAATCCTAACTATCTAGAATGACTGGCCGCTATTTTTATTTTAAAAGAGGTATCAGTGTTGATGCGGTGGCTCAATGGCTAAGATACTGAGCTTGTCGATCAGAAAGGTCGGCAGTTCGAATCCCTAGTGCCGCGTCATGGAGTGAGCTCCTGTTACTTGTCCCAGCTCTGCCAATCTAGCAGTTCAAAAGCATATAAAAATGCAAGTAGAAAAATGGGCAGCACTTTGGTGGGAAGGGAACAGCGTTCTGTGCACCTTCGGTGTTTAGTCGTGCCGGCCACATGACCATGGAGATGTCTTCGGACAGCGCTGGCTCTTTGGCTTTGTAACGGAGATGAGCATCGCCCCCTAGAGCCGGAAACGACTAGCACGGAATGTGAGGGGAACCTTTACCTTTACTATAATGTTGAAGGAGATCTGTCTATCTCAAGGTGCTTTTTCGAAAGGCAACTGGGCTTTGTTTTCCCAGAAAAGTTGTAAAATGGAGCCCAGCTCACTTAAATTTCTCACCTAGCAACATAAATTCGGGGCTCAATTGTGTCGTACATTGAGGCTTATCTGTACTCGTACTGGAACCAATGATGTTACCGCATGTGGTAGTGAAACATCTGCAAGAAAACAACCAAGAGCCCCAAGGATCCCTAGTTTTATCCACTTGCTAATTGTTAGTGGGAGAAGATTCAGATAACAGATAATCAGAGTTGGAAGGAACCTTATAGGTCATCTAGTCCAACCCCCCGCCCAAGTGGGAGACCCTACGCCATTTCTGACAAATGGCAGTCCAATCTCTTCTTGAAAGTCTCAAGTGATGGCGCTCCCACAACTTCTGAGGGCAACTTCTGTTCCATTGGTTGATGGTTTTCACTGTCACAAAGTTTCTCCTTATTTCCAGGTTGAATTTCTCCTTGTTCAGTTTCCATCCATTATTCCTTGTCTGGCCTATAGGCGCTTTAGAAAATAGATTGACCCCCTCCTCGTCTCTGGGCAGCCCCTCAAATATTGGAAGGCTGCTCTCCTGTCTCCCCTGGTCCTTCTCTTCCCTAGACTAGCCAGGTCCAGTTCCTACAACAGTTCATCGTATATTTCAGCCTCCAGTCCCCTCATCATCCTGGTTGCTCTTCTCTGCATTTTTTCTAGAGTCTCAACATCTTTTTTATAACGTGGTGACCAAAACTGGATGCAGTACTCTAGGTTTGGTCTTACTAAGGTTTTATAGAGTGATATTAGTATCTCACTTGATCTCGATTGTATCCCTCTGTTAATGCAACTTAGAATTGCATTAGCTTTTTTGGCTGCTGCTGCACACGGCTGGTTCCTATTTAGCTGGCTGTCCACTAAGACTCCGAGATCCCTCTCCCAGTTGCTGCTATTGAGCCTGGTTTCACCCAGTCTATATGGGTCCTTTTGGTTTTTCTTGTCTAAGTGTAGGACTTTACTTTCCTCTACATTGAGTTTCATTTTGTTAGATACGGCCCAGTGTTCTAGTCTGTCAAGATCCATCTGGATCTTGAGCCTATCTTCTTGGGTGTTAGCTATTCCTGCCAGCTTAGTATCATCTGCAAATTTGGTGAGTTCCCTTTCTATTCCCTCATCTAAGTCATTAATTATGATATTGAAGAGTCCTGGGCCTAAGATGGAACCTTTCCTGCCCAAAGCCTTGAGCGATAAATCACCACATTAGAACCTTCATGTGCAGATCTGGTTCTTCGCACGTGACACTCCCCTGTTTCCCTGAAAATAAGACCCAACTGGAAAATAAGCCCTGGCACGATTTTTCAGGGTGCTTGTAATAAAAGCCCTACCCCCAAAATAAGCCCCAGTTAAGATTGTCAGCCAGACAGATGCATTTCGAACTGTATTTCCCCCCAAATAAGACCTAACCAGAAAATAAGCCCTGAATGCATCTTTTGGAGCAAAAACTAATATAGGACCCGGACTTATTTTCGGGGAAACACAGTAACAAGCCTATGGCCGCAGTGTGTAGCTTGAACTGTGGTCCTACCAGGTGTGCCAGGCTACCTGCGCCGTCCTTTTCCCCATCTGCCATGTTGGCTGGGAGGTGATTTATCGTTATCAGCCTAGAACAAGTCGAAGTAGTAAATTTGCTCGGGGCTGACAACGCAGTGGCTCATCTCTGCTGCTGGCAGGAGGGTGAATAATTTATAAAGCCGTTATTCAGCGGCAGGGAGAGGGACATTAGCATTTTAATGAAAACAATATAGGCATTGTGTTAAATCTTTGCATTCTTCTCCTTCTTCCTTCTCTTCCTCCAGGAAAGCCATTCTGTCAAGTGCTTTGAAAACAGCTGACAACACCGGATAATGTGCTGACGAGCACTATGGGCAGGCGGTACCCAGGAGCCCACTATCGTCAAAGCAATTCATGTACGTTTGCAAAAACTTCCCCGGTTAACCGAGTTAGCAAAGCCCAACAAACCACGATACGACCTCAATTTAGCCCAACATTTCTAATAAGGCAAGTGAGACAGTTGCTGAGTATTACGACTTGTGTTGCCGTGGTTGTTAAATGAATCCTGCTTCACTTATCAATGAATATGACTTTGCTTATCAGAAGGTCGCAAAATGGGATCCCTTGATCCCGGGACACTGGAAACGTGAACCAGTGGCCAAGCAGGGGTGAGCTGCTACCGGTTTGGGTGAACCGGATGTTAATTTTACATCTGGTTCACCGAATCAGTAGTTGCAATGATTGGCTGGCCCCGCCCAACCCGCCCAACCCCCCCAGGCCCCATTTTGGGTCCCAGGTAAGTGCAGGGCTCGCGTGGAAGGTCGGGGAGGGTGAAAAACAGGCCTTCCAGAAGGCCGGATATGGGCCCATTTCCTGCCTGCAGAGAGCCCTTTGGAGCATGGGGAGGTGGGAAACAGGCCTTCTGGAGGTCAATTAAAGCTTCCAGAGCCCAGGGATGGGGAAAATGGGCCTCCCAGAGGCTCTGGAAGGCCAGAAATGGGTCCGTTTCCCACCGCCAGAGAGCCTTCGGAGCCCAGGGAGGGGGAAACAGGCCTCCCGGAGGCTCAATAAAAGCTTCTGGAGCCTACGGAGGCAGGAAACGAGCCTTCTAGAGGCTCTGGAAGGCCGGAAATGGGCCCGTTTCCCGCCGCCAGAGAGCCTTCGGAACCCAGGGAGGGGGGAAACGGCTCTCCCTCTCCGCTCTGGAAGGTTGGAAATTCGCCCATTTCCGGCCTCCAGAAGGCCTCTGGAGCCCAGGAAGGCCATTTTCGCCCTCCTGGAGGCTCAAGGAAAGCATCTGGAGCCCCCGTGGAGGGCAAAAATACTCACCTCCCACCGTGATGCAGGAGGCAGACTAGGCCAGGCCCACCCAGCAACCGGGCAGAGAACCGGTTGCTAAATTTTTTGAAGTCCACCCCTGAATTTTGACCACGAGGATGCTGGAACAGTCCTAAGTGTGAAAAATGGTCATGTCACTTTTTTCAGTACTGTTACAACTTCGAACCATCACTAAGTGAACTATTGTAAGTCTAGGACTACCTGTAGTAAGTAGCTTTGCTTGGCTGTCTTGTGGCCTTTTGAGATGGCGTGGCCACGGCTGTAGACATGGTGATTTATTGGGATATCTTTTATCGCCGCACGTGTGAAATTGTGGTAGGTGTGGTTTTGAAGCCCAGGTGAGGTTGTTTTCAGAAATTTTTCCAGCTGGAGAAGGAAAAGTTTGCTGCGTGTCAGTTACTCGTTCCTCTGAACTGAATTTTTTGTTAGGCACAAGTTGAATTACAGCGTTTTGAAGATTTTCTTTTCTTGCTAAGTTCAATATGGCTTCAGTCAGAAATATACACATTTCTCAGATGAGTAGATTGAGTTCTTTAAAAAGTATCCTTCCTATAGCATAATTCTATGTTTTGGTAATGTACTTCTCGACTTATAACTAGAGTCGAGATCAGAATTTCTGTTGCTAAGCAGGACAGTTGTTGTCACTTAAATGAACTGTTGTAAGTCAAGGACTATCATGCAACTCTCAGCACCTTACAAGGAAAAATGACACAATACAAATCTATATATATAAAAGCGAAATACCACTCATGCATCATCACAAAATCTACAGAATTGTAAAGCCTACAAACTTGAAATTTGGCACGTATGTTCCTCTTGGCTTCTAGAGGCTCACTAAGAAAGGATTTTTCGAAATGACCATTAGAGCATTAGTATTTCCTATATTATTATTATTAACACGCTCTGATGCTAAAGAGTTCTACTCCCCCTCCCCACCTAAAAAAAAAAATCTCTTCCAAATGCAAAACCCAAGCAGAGAAGGAGAGTTTTAGTTTCAGTTTCAGTTTCACAGCAGCACCAAGCAGCTTTAGTACAGAACAGGTGAGCTAAGCCATGCCCAGGCTCCTTGCTGTCTCCTTCTTGCTCACACAGGGAATACTGTTTCAGTTTCCAAACAACCTTCAACTCTCTCACACACTGACAGGACGCTAGCCAGATGAATACCGATGGATGCTGGTAGGCAGAGGCAGAATTTTTTCCCCTTATTTTCCTCCTCAAAAACTAAGCCCGACCACATAGTTTCATGATAGGAAGGTAACAGCTTTCTGTGCATCTTCGGCATTTAGTCCTGCCAGCCACATGACCATGGAGACATCTTCAGACAGCGCTGGCTCTTCAGCTTTGTAACGGAGATGAGCCCTGCCCCCTAGAGCCGGAAATGACTAGCATGTATGTGCGAGGGGAACGTTTATCGTTACCTTAAGATGGGTGAATATAGTTGATCTGAACTATTGGATGCATTGTCCACCTTAACTGACCAGCCCAACATAAATTCTGCAAACTGAGAATGGCTACAACAGGGTTGTCAAACTGGATTTCTTCAAGGGCTGGATCAGCATGTAGTTCTCTGCGGGTCAGCTGGGAGGGAGGGAGATGGGATGGACGTCTCCTGAAGCACCCTGCCAGCCAAAACGGGACATGCGCAACCTCCCTGTTCCCTGTTTTGGCTGGCAAAGTGCTGCAGGAGGCTGTCCAGGCCAAAAACTTGGTGCCGCGGGGGTGGGTGGGCTATGCCCTGTTTTGACTGCCAGAGGCACCGCAGGGTTGGTCCTTTGTTATTTCCAGGCCGGCGAGATTTAAGAACCCCATGGGCTGGATCCAGCCCGCGGTAGTGGTGCTATTCCAACGGTTCGGCCTGGTTTGGCCGAACCGGTAGCTCCGAGCATCATCTGTGATCGAATCGGTTCGCTCCCACGATCAGCTGCTGGGCCCTCCCACCTGCCTCCGGCTCTATATCGACCTTTATTTCCCGCTTTTGAAACTCAGCTGCTTCACGCCTCAGCTGTTTTACGCACAGGGCTTGCAGCAGAAGGTGAGTTGCAAACGCTGCAGGTGCGTAAAGTGCACGCTCACACCAAACCGGTAGGAAAAAGTTTTGAAACCCATCACTGGTTCTATTCCAATGATGGCGAACCTTTTTGTTGTGGTGTGCTGACACCCACAATGCGCTGCGCCCTGCCCTCCCTCTGTTCATGCACGCGCAACACCCCCACCCCCTTACCTGCACTGCATATGCGCACGCCCACAAAGGGAGAATGCAGGATTGCAGGAGAAGATCAGTGTCAAACCCTCTGGGCCTGCGCAAAGTGTGCGTTCATTGCGCATACGCGCACCAAGCGCGCCCACCAAGCCACGCCCACAGAATCTGTGGTAAAACAAGTTGAATCCCACCTCTAGCCCGCGGGCCTTGGGTTTGACACCCCTGGACTACAACAACATTAGGTTGTTTAATTTTTGTATTTTAGGGATTGAATTCCAACTCCAGGAGGTCGGCAATTTCAAGAGCGCTTTTGATTTGTGGAGTTGTAGAATTGGAGGGAAATAAGAGAGCTAAATAAAGCCTTACCTTTTCAGAATGCGGATGAGATATTTGAATAAAAGATCTTTCATCTATTCCTCCAGTGTTGGCCTCCTGCCGTAAATATTGAATACTTTTAAGACAAAAATCTTACCCTTGCATGCAACCCCAAAATTAAAGTCCCAGCTGCATTGTGGTTTTTTTTTTTCCCTGTAAGAAGGCAAAGTTTTAGAAGCTTAACTCATTTGCAGTAAATAAAAGGTGCCAACATATGCAGCGGCTATAAAATATCCATCTTGGCTGATCTCCCTCTTCACACCACCCGCAACTTTTCTCCTGCCCTTTTGTGATAATTCCCTTAGTCATTTTATAGCCTTAAAAGAAGCGGGGGAGAGAGAAAAAAAATCCCAGGGTTACAGATTTCAAGAATACAGATTTACACTTCCGAAAGGGGAGAAACGGTATAAATATTCTTACATAGTGAGAACCTTTCATGATTAGAATTTGGCATTCTTTCCGAGTCTTTCTTTTTTATCATAAAAAAGAGCTAATAAATTTTCTACTCGTTGTAGCCAGCCTTTAATGCGGGTTCTAATTTAATCCAACTTCAGGAACAGTTAGTTGAAGTTTACTAGGGTTGTGGGCCAGCGTTAAAGTAGAAGCTTTTGTTCTTCCTGTTTCTTTCCATCTCTTTTACGGATAGTTACACCTGTTCATTTTATGACCATTCAAAGTTGTCACAGCACTGAAAAAAAGGCCACACATGGCTGTTTTTCACACTTACAGCCGGTGGAGCACTCCTGTGTTCACACGATCAAAATGTCGCTACTGACTCATATTTATGATTGGTTGCAGTATCCCAGGATCATGGGGTTCTCCTTAACAACCATGTGACTAACTGTTCTGACCCAGTTCCCCAAAGACGACAAAACTCTTGCCAAGTTTGAAGACCCTCCTTGTCTTAAGCTGAAAATCTTAGGTGCTATAGCAGAGGTCTCCAAACTTGGCAGCTTTAAGACTTGTGGACTTCAACTTCCAGAATTCCTCCTCCAGTCATGTTTGCTCAGGAATTATGGGAGTTGAAGTCCACAAGTCTTAAACTGGCCAAGTTAGAAGACCCTAGAAGACTCTAGAAGTTTCTTTTGCATCAAACATGTAGATCAGGGCTGTCCAACCTTGGCAACTTTTAAGACCCACGGACTTCAACTCCCAGAATTCCTCTTGATCAAATATGTAAATCCAGGATGTCTTCTGCATCAAATGTTTAATTCAGGGTGGGTGGGGGTCCAATCTTGGCTGCTTTAAAAACCTGTGGGAATTCTGGGAGTTGAAGTCCACAGATCTTCAAGCTGCTAAGTTTGGACTGTCCTGAGTCTTGAATTCTCCCGCTGCTGGGCAGGTAGGGAGATAAGCATCATCTCAAAACACCACAAAACAGAGAATTCTTAAATCAGGAGTCCCCAACCTATGGGCCTCTTAGCCACTGGGCCGTGTGATTGGCTGGCCATTGTACACGCCTGTGCACCTGTGCGCACACTCCCCACTCACGCTGGTGTCCCCATGAGCATTGCATGGGGGCTAATGTCATGAGCGTTGCGTGGGCGCTAGCATTGCTGCATGCATCTCGTGTCCATTGGCAGCCCCGTGCGTTCAACCCATTCACACATACATGCATAATGTTGCCTGCCCCTCCCAGATTAACAGACTTGGAAGGGACCTTGTAGTAGGTCATCTAGTCCAACCCTCCCCCGCCCAAGCAGGAGACCCTACACCATTTTTGACAGATGGCAATCCAATCTCTTCTTAAAAGCTTCCAGCGATGAAGCTCCCACAACTTCTGAAGGCAACTTCTGTTCCATTGGTTGATTGTCCAACCCATGCCAGGAAATTTCTCCTTATTTCCAGGTTGAATTTCTCCTTGTTCAGTTTCCATCCATTATTCCTTGTCTGGCCTTCTGGTGCTTTAGAAAACAGCTAGACCCCCTCCTCCTCTCTGTGGCAGCCCCTCAAATATTGGAAGACCGCTATCATGTCTCCCCTGGTCCTTCTCTTCACTCGACTAGCCAGGCCCAGTTCCTGTAACCGTTCTTCATATGCCTTAGTCTCCAGTCCCCTAATCCTCCTGGTTGCTCTTCACTGTACTCTTTCTAGAGTCTCACTATCTCACCGGGTTGGGGAAATCTGTCCCAAAATGACCACATTAAGACCTTGATCCCAACTGGAGACCATGCAGAAGATGAAGCATCTTGACGTTTTGGCCACCCTGTTGTGATTTGCACCAGGTGATCGCGGGCGTTGCGTTTCTCACCAGCCTTTGTCTTTCTCCTCTAGTTGATTCCGGTGTGGAAACCTTGGTGGGGTTTATGGCAAGTAACGGCACGTCAGACGTTGTGAATCGCAATGGACCCGCCACGCCCCCCAACACCCTTCACCTGCGCTCCTCTCACAACGAGTTGCTGAATGCCGAAATCAAGCACACGGAGGTCAAGAATGGCACCCCTCCCAAATGCAGGAAGAAATACGCCCTGACCAGCATTCAGACAGCCATGGGCCTTTCGGACCCTGCAGCCCAGCCTTTGCTGGGCAGCAACTCCTCCAACATCAAGCTGGTGAAAAACGGAGAAAACCAGCTTAGGAAAGCAGCCGAGCAAGGACAGCAGGATCCCAACAGAAACCTCGATGCACCATCCGTGACGACGGGTCTAAACATAACTTCTGAGAAGTTGGAGGGGAAGGAACCAAGCCAACAGGACTCTTCCAGTGGTGAAATCCTGCCCACCCAACACCGGAGATCGAAGAGCTTCCTAAACTACTATGCAGATCTTGAGACATCAGCCAGGGAGGTGGAACAGAATTATGGGGAGAGCCAAGAGGCGGCGGAGGATAAATTGCCTTCACAGTGCCATAGCCAAGCCTCCATGGTTAATGGAGATACATTGCTTCAGAAGCAAAACAAGGCAGAGAGCCCTGAAGATGGGCCAGCAGCTACCATCTCTTCCAGTCCAGAGACTAAAAAGGATCACCCTAAAACAGGTGCCAAGACCGACTGCGCGCTCCACAGGATTCAGAACCTGGCTCCGAGCGATGAAGACTCTAGCTGGACCACATTGTCTCAAGACAGCGCTTCTCTGAGTTCTCCAGATGAAACAGGTAAGGATGCTTCTTGGATGTGTCTTTGGGCCTGGGTGGAGGCAGGTGAGGTGCGAAATATAATCCTTACTAAGTGTGAAGATATGGAGGAGAAGAGCAGGCAGAGTTGGAGGGTGAAGTGAAATACGTCATCAGCTTAGAGTAGAGAATACAGCCGTGATGGTGAACCTATGGCATGTGTGCCACAGGTGGCATGCAGAGCCATTTATGTGGGCACGCGAGCCTCAGCCAAACTTACCTGCACTGCGCATTGTGCATGGCTTCCGGCTGATTTTCGGCTGGTTTGAGGCCTTTTTCGCCCACCCAGAGGCTTGAGGGACGCCTCTGCAGCCTTGGGAGGCCGAAAAACGGGCATTCTGGAAATACTGGAAGTGCCTGTTTTCAACCTCTGGAGGGCCTCTGGAGCCTGGGGGAGGCAGTTTTCGCCCTCCCAGGGGCTCGAGGAAAGCCTCTGCAGCCTTTGGAGGTTGAAAAACGGGCCCATTTTTTGGCCTCCAAATGCTGCAGACTTCCCTCGAGCCTCCGGGAGGGCGAAAAAGGCCTCAAAATGAGCTGGGAGGTGCGCGCATGAGCAGTGCAGGTAAGGGGGCAGGGGGGTGTTGCGCGTGCATGCGTAGGGGGACGGGGCACATTGCATTGTGGGTGCCGGCACACCATAACAAAAAAGGTTCACCATCAATGGAATAGAACCAGTGATGGGTTTCGAAAAGTTTTCCTACCGGTTTGGTTTGAGTGTGCACTTTGCGCAACGTTTGTAGCTCACCTTCTGCTTCAAGTCCTTTGTGTAAAACAGTTGATGTGCGGCAAAACGGCTGTGCCGTGAGAAGTAGCTGAGGTTGAAAAGCAGGAAATAAAGGTCAGTATACAACGGCACCGGTGGGAGGGCCCAGCAGCTGATGGTCAGAATGAACTGGCTCACTCACAGATGGTCATCGGAGCTACCGGTTCGGTCGAACCGAGCTGAACCGGTAGAATACCACCACTGAATAGAACAGAATAGAACATCGGAGTGGGATGGAGCGGAATGGAACACAATACAATGCAACACAACGCAACATAAGACAACATTTGGCCATGTGTGGTTAACACACAAGGAATTTGTCTTAAAGTCATTACGTTCCCACAATCTGTCCAAGTTCAACCCCCCCCCCCTTGAATTCCATTGACCCATATCTGGTTCCACAATTTAGTGTTGAACTTTAGTTGACCAGATCCTTGTACATGGGCTTGAATAAATCTTCTCTGCTACAACTTAATGGACGGTCTTGATCCCTTTGCAATTGAGATCGATCTAGTCAGCTAAAATGCAATGCTAAATTAACACCAGATGTGATGACCCAGGGTGGGATACAAAACAAACACAGTCACAAAAAAACCCCTTTATTCCTTCACTTTGCTTCCACGCTCCAAATATCCTTGATGGAAGACAAAAAACTCCCACACAAGCAGTTACAAGAAGGAGAGAAAAAAACAGCACAAACCAGGCAAGATAAGGGTTGGAGGACATCTACAGATAACAGAACACACACTGAGAAGGACGCCAAACTCAGAAAGGAATCATAAACTAGAGATATTTCCACACTTTGTTTCCAGCATTCGCTTGTACGCATGTCCGTCCTCTTACTCAGTTGTCACAGCTGCAGCCCATGAAGAGGATCAAAGCTCTCTCCTCCCGAGTAGACCATGTCTTTCCCTTCTCCTCTCCTCCCTGCATGCCCTAGGATGGAGAGGGGATGGGCCTGGGTCCTCCTCTAACTGCCCAGCCAGCCTCTGCCCTTCCCCAGTCTCCTCCACAACCTCCGGAGCCACACTTCCACTCCCTGTCGGCTGTTCCTCCTCTCCCTCAGAGTCAGTCTCCACCAGGGGCATGACACCAGATCAACGGAAAGGTCAAAGGAATTCAGGAGGGGTTGAACTTGGACCGTTTATGCTAACATAACAAGTCTAAGCTAATGACTCTCTTAACTCCACCACTACCCCCAGCTCTGCCTGCTCTTCTACAGTTCACTAGCTTCAAGGGTTGCTGCGAAAATTGCAAATATTGTGCTTTGGTTATAGTACAGTGTTTTGTGTTTTTGGGATTATGGTGCCTGTTACTTTAATTTTCTAAAGTCTTCATTGATGGTGTTTAGGAAATGTTTACGGTAAAATCAAAGAGGCTAGTCCATCAATCATGACTCTCATCAATCAAACTTCCTAATAGTGAGGACAATTAACCAGTGGAATGGCTTTTCTTCAGAAGTTCTGGGTTCTTCATCACTGGAGGTTTTTAAGAAGAGACTGGATAGCCATTTGTCTGAAATGGTGTAGGTTCTCCTGCTTGAGTAGGGGGCTGGACTAGAAAACCTCCCAAGGTCCCTTCCAGCTCTATTCTATTCTAAATTCTATTCTAAATTCTCCAACCGGCTATAGCTGGCTGGGGAATTCTGGGAGTTGAAGTGCACACGTCGTGAAATTGCCACAGTTGGGAAACACGACTATCCGGACTACCTTGAAATTCTGACATATATTGATCTGTGAACCCTGACTGTAAAAGATCCAGCTAATTCTTGCCACCAGAGTGACATGTAGATGGGCTGCAGTTGCCAGCAGAAAACACACAAAATGACTTCACTATAGAAGAATGCCATTCTGTGTCTACAAAATTCCAGTTGTGTTTTTTTCAGAATTCTCAGCAATGATGTACTTGAAAAACTTACAACTGAACGCAAATCTGAAGTTCCAACCATCTCTCTCTCTCTCTCTCTCTCTCTCTCTCTCTCTCTCACACACACACACACACACACACACACACACGCATGCAGAGAGGAGAGAGAGAGAGAGAGAGAAGGACACATTGCTGAACAGGTAGTCCTTAAGTTAGTAACCACGTTGTTAAGTGAATCTGGCTTCCCCATTGAGTTTGCTGGTCAGAAGGTCGCAAAAGGGAATCATTTGACCCCCAGGACACGGCAACGGTCATACACATGAACTCATTGCCAAGCGTCTTGAGTTTTGATCCCATAATCATGGAGACGTTGCAAAGGTTGTAACTGTTGTGGCCCACCTGCGACTGGTGGAGCTGGCAGCAGAGTCGGACAGTAGTGAGGAGGTTAAGGAGGACTCCGGGCCATTCCTGGAGGCTGAGGAAGGCTTGGATGAGGGCTCTGCATCAGAGGAAGAGATGGGGCCAGGGCAGGCTGGCAGTCATCAGCTGCCTTTGGGCTCGGACAGCAATGAGGCGGGGGAGCTTCTGGAACCAGTTTCCAGCCTGCGTACGCGCAGAGCTGCCAAAAAGGAAGGCACAATTAAGAACTCAGGGTCGACATGGGAGTAAGGCCACAGATGGACAATGAATGCCCCCTCCCATCAGGATTAAAAGAGAAGCAAAAGGGGAGGTTTTTTTTTCAGGAAACAACTCACTTGTTTGTTCGTTCCAAGCTGACTGTGAATGAAATAAATTCACATTATAATGTAATCAAAGAGGTTTTTGCCAGGACTCAAGAAGTGATTTAGTGCTTTTGGGGGAGGCCTAGGACAGAACAGTAACTCTGAAAAACGCCTGTGAGTCACATTTTTCAGTGCCATTGTGACTTTGAACGGTAACACTAAACAAACTGTTGTAAGTCGAGAAGTACCTGTAAAAAAATTGGGGAAAAAAATTGTCCACCCTTCTCCAGAAGGTAACTTCTCTGGCCTTGTCTGCCAAGTTTGAAATTCTTCTGTGGTCATCTCTGTTTAACGATGAGGCAAACCAAATGGAAACCCAGTTCCTTGCAGATTTGTGATGCTTTCCATCCCCCCCGCCCTTTTATCGCAATCCGATCAATTCTTAAAAGCCATAAAAAGATTCTGAAGTCCCTGAAGGACAGTAGAGCCATTAAAATAGGTCACACTCACAGCCTGATGGGTCCAATTGATCCACAGATGTTGCTTAGACATTAACCTTGATGGAGCTTGCTGGCTTGGCTTGGCGGAGAAAAGGTGACTCTGCTAAAGAGCTCCTAAACATGACAAGTGAGCAGATCGGAAGTCTACTGTATCTCCTCTTTTCTTGTTCGCTCTGTGGTTCAAACGATTATAGAACCCTGGGGCTGGAAGCAGAGGTGGGATTCAGCAGGTTCTGACCAGTTCTGGAGAACTGATAGCGGAAATTTTGAGTAGTTCAGAGAACCGGCAAATCCCACCTCTAACTGGCCCCGCCCCCATCTATTCTCTGCCTCCCGAGTCCCAGCTGATCGACTGGGTCTTTTGTTGCCCTGCACAGGAGAATGGAGCTGGAAAGCAGGTTAGTGGAGTGGGGAGGAAATGGGGATTTTGCAGTATCCTTCCCCCAGGAGTGGGGAGGGAATGGAGATTTAGCAGTATCCTTCCCCTGCCATGCCCATCAAGCCATGCCACACCCACCAAGCCACGCCCACAGAACCAGTAGTAAAAATTTTTGAATCCCACCACTGAAGGGACCTTGGAGGTACAGGAGTATCAAACTCAATTTCGTTGAGGGTCGCATCAGGATTGTATTTGACCTCGGGTAGCCAGGGTGCGCATGGCCAGGGTGGGCATGGTCAGCTCGACATCACTTGTCGGGGGCGCCTGTGACAGCCCGGGCACTCTGCCAGTGAAAATGGGCACCGGAGCTCAGTTTTTGGCTGCAACAGCCTCCTGTAACCCCTCTGCCAGAGAAAATGGAGCTCCATTTTTGTCAGACTGCGCACAGTGTGCCTATATGAGACAACCCAGGAGCAAACACAGTAAGCAGAGGTTTGTGTTTTTAAATAGTGGTTTTATCTACAAACCATATATACATACATGTAGTTTAGTCAGACCGCAAACAGCAGTCCGCAATTACAGCATGGAAGCACACACAGATACGCCCCAGTATAGCCTCCTCTTATTACAGGCTCTTAAAGTGATATCAGCCCAAAAACCTTGGTAACTCATTCCCAGCATTACAGCAGCTGGTCAGCTGTTAAATCATTACCCTGACAATTTTCACTGGCAGAGGCCCTGTGCGCCGGTCC